TCAAAGCCGAAGAACCAGCGCTGTCTGAAGACGTTTCTGTGGTCATGTGGCCGGCATGACTAAACACCAAGGTGCACGGAACGCTGTGACCTTCCCACCAAAGTGGTACCTATTTATCTACTTGCAATTTCTTGCTTTCAAACTGCTAGGTTGGCAGGAGCTGGAACTAGAGACAGGAGCTCACTCCACAAGGTATAGATAGGAACTCTCGGTCTGGGGCAAGGGGTGCTCTGTATTCTTGGTGCTTTGGGGGGGGGACAGTGCGAGGGCTTCTAGTGTCCTGGCTCCGTTGCTGGACCTCCTGAGGGCACCTGGTATTTCTGGCCACTGTGTGACACAGAGTGTTGGACTGGATGGGCCACTGGCCTGATCCAACACTGGCTTCTCTTATGTTCTTATGTCCAAACACAGAATTCCCAGCACACATCCGGTCTGGCTCTCTCTGATGCAGCAACTGATTCACGACAGACCATCCAGTGGGCTGCATAAAAGGTGCCTGCAAATTGCCAGCCGTGAGTAATCCTAGCTAATGCCAGCCACTTCCTCCCACATCCCCAGGAAGAGGGTGGACGATGTCAAGGCTAAGCCAGTGGCGGAAAAAAAAAACAGTTCAGTGTCATCCGCCAGCAAGGCCTTCCTTCCCCTCAGGATCCAAAACACTGCAGCAAGGAAAGTACTCACAGGAAGCGAGAAGGACGTTGCCACCCTCCAGGTTGGATATTGTAACTCCGCCTTTGTGGTCATACCTGAGGGACCGCCTTCATGGTCATACCTGAGGGACCGCCTTTCCCCGCATGTTCCCCAGAGAGCACTGCGTTCAGGGGCCCAGAAGCGATTGGTCCTCCTGAGTCTTGAGGAGGCCAGGCTGGTGACAACCAGGGTCCAATGAAAGCCTCGTAAAAAACTAGAGCCTAAACCCAAGGCCCGATACACATGACCTGACGCGTTTCCGCCCTATTGGGGCCTTCTTCAGAGGTCGAACAATATCGAGGTACACGTAACTTAAATACGTATTGCAATGCGATAACCAATAAGTGAATAATGGACCAGGAAGAGGAAGGGCGTAGAGAAAAGAGATAAAAAGAATATTGAATAAGGATGATCAAATATTTTTAAACTTACAATATGTTAAAAATGGCTATATTACTTACTTAAGCAGCAAAATCTAAAGACACATGACAAAGATGTTTGTGAGGTCTCAAAAGGTAAAAGTCATGGGTCTGGTGCCAAATGCATAGTTGCTGTATTAGAACATCTAAAAGATATCTTCCCACTGAACCTTTTTAATGCAATCCTAGTGAAATACTTAGTCATGGCCTTATTCAATATTCTTTTTGTCTCTTTTCTCTACAGCCTTCCTCTTCTTGGTCCATTATTCACTTACTGGTTATCTTATTGCAAAACGTATTTAAGTTATGTGTACCTCGATATTGTTTGACCTCTGAAGAAGGCCCCAATAGGGCAGGAATAAAAAAAAACAGGAATGCGTCAGGTCATGTGCAATGTTCCCTCTAAGCTGTGGAGTCTTGTGAGCAGAAATTCTACTTTGTGAGCAACTGGCATTAAAGTTGTGAGCGAGCGATTTGGCTACTGCATAAATTAGTTTGCTCTGGAGCCATCTTTCCTGAGCTAAGAGAAAAATGTGTGAGCCAGAGGCTAAAAAACTGTGAGCTAGCTCACACTAACTCAGCTTAGAGGGAACACTGGTCATGTGTATTGGCCCTGGTGTTTAGGCTCTAGTATTTTAGAATCATAGAATGTCAGAGTTGGAAGGGACCTTGCAGGTCATCCAGTCCAACCCCCTGCACTCTGCAGGAGCATAGCCGAAAGAGAGCCCTACATACCTACAACATACCCGAAAGACGGTCGTCCAGCCTCTGCTTGAAAACGTCCAGCGAAGGAGCCTCCACCACCTCCCGAGGCAGACTGTTCCATTGCTCAACCACTCTTACACTTAAGAAGTTTCTCCTGAGATTTAGCCGGTAACGACTCCCTTGTAGTTTCCACCCAGTAGATCTAGTCTTGCAATCCGGAGCAAGAGAGAATAGATTTTTACGAGGCTTTCATTGGGCCCTTATGTATGTTTTTAACTCTCTTTCTAATAAACACTTGCATTTTTGTATAAGTTTTAACCAGGTTTTTAATACTGGCCCTTCATCAGACTTTCTTCTCACCCTTTTGGTTCTTGATTCGTTTTTGGGTCAGGTTTGTTTTCCTCCCCGTGTGTTACTGGTGACAACCAGGGCCTTCTTGGTGGCGGCACCATCCTGGTGGAACGAGCTCCCAGAAGAGAACAGGGCCCTGCAGCGCCTCTTACAGTTCCGCAGGGCCTGCAAGACGGAGCTCTTCCGCCAGGCTTTTGGAGTCGCTGCCACCGTTAAACATCATTCACAACCAAGAGCTGAAGGACAGAAAGCCCTGTTGCCTCTGGAATTCTTAATCACAGCCTGTGCCGGCCGCCTGCAAGACACCTGAAGAAGATCTAGGAGCCAGCTATGGGAAGAGGGGATTGAGTATGGTAGCCAGCGTTGATTCAGTGATAATCGATAACAACAACACTAGCACTTATTATGTTATCGTTAACTGCAAAGAGGTGCAGGAGCTCATTAGCATAACTCATTAGCATAATATCTGCATATGCCACACCCCCTGACATCACCAGAAGTGTGTCAGAAGGCAACACCCACTGTTCAAGCATCACTGGACTGTTTTGGATTGCTAGCTATTGGGGGGGGGGACACCAGCAGATCTGTCCTCACAGAGGAGGGAGAGCTTGTACCTGAATAAAACTTGGTCTTAAAGGTGCCACTGGACTGTTTTGGATTGCTAGCTATGGGGGGG